AGTAGTATCAGTAGTGGTAGTAGTAGTAGCAGTTCGTAGTAGTAGTAGTAGTAGTAGTAGTAGTAGTAGTAGTGGTAGTAGTGGTAGTGGTGGTGGTGGTAGTAGTAGTAGTGCTAGTGGTAGTAGTAGTAGTAGTAGTAGGAGAAGCAGGAATAGTAGGCAAGGTCTCATGTACATGAATATGAGAGAAGTGAGGCTGTGCCCTCACTACCACTACTACGACGGTTGCAGATCTTGCTACTGCTTTCATCCATGCCATTTCAATACGATGTGACCGAGTCACGGTGCTTACCAACTGTATCCTGTCACAATATTCGCATAACATCACTAACCGACCTTCCTCAGCTTCTCCGGGAAAAGGCTGGACTGCTGACGTAAGTCCTGTGAGAAGCTGTGCCCACAACTCTCGGCTGAGAGGCTATGTATCTAAAGTAGTTCTGATACAGTCCTCGAGCATCTGAGCAGCAATCGACGAGGGCACTCCTGAATCCGCGACACACGCTACGACAGGCGTATGTACAGCAGGAAGTGTAGAGTGCACATCACGGAAAGCTGTACAGTACAATAGTAGGCCCAAAACAACAAAAAAACATCTGACAGCAACAGACAAAGCCCCGAGAGTGACCTTCCGCGAAGCGCGAATGTCTGCAAATGTCGAAGAGATCACTGGGGCCTGGGATACGCAAGCGGCGCAAAATCTGAAGACTATGTGTGAATCGGTCCCTCTGACGAAACGCGAACTACTAGGCCTGCTAAGCTGAAGATGAGCTGGCTGCAAGACGTCTCGTTTCTGCGCGAAATCCAGGATTCACTTCACTGACTATGACATGTTTCTATTGATTCTATTGAATGCATATGAATGCTACAGTGCTGCATGAGCCAGCACCTTCTACAAACTCTCAGTCATCTTAACTGCGACGCGATTCCGCCAGCGAATGAAAGGTATGTGGTATGCATGTGTCAACCAGTCCTCCGAATAGCATTCGAGCATGCATATCTACATGTGTATCTGCATCCGGAATTATCTGTATCTGTATATATGTACAATATCATCTATTTATCTATCTATCTATCTATCTGTATTTATGTCGGTCTATCTATGTATATTATATATACTATCTACATATATACTACATAATATAGACAGACAGACAGACAGACAGACAGACAGACAGATCGGTCCTGCCAGGGACTTCCTCGTTCGAAGATGCGAAGCTGCGAGAGGGCTACCACCATTTGCTATAGTGCGCACCCTGGACACTTCTCAGTTCCCTGCGTGTCTGTCCCGTTGCAACGGTCTCCAGCGCTCGGCATAGCCATCTTGACCTTGCCTTTGTCAGTGTTCTGTAAGTGGAAACACATCTGATCTCGAATACGTAGGATGAACCCTCAACCCTAAGGGCCCCAAAGCCCTGGCCCTAGACCTTTGAAGCGCTCAACCGAGTGGAAGCAATCTGCCCAACTCGCCTCCGGAAGGAGCGCCGTTGCGGACGTGAGGTTGACGATGACCTGTCAGTCGGCGATGCTTATGCAAGGTTTCACGGCTACTTGCTCAAATGCGTTTCACCGCCGCAGATTCCGCAAACGAGTCTTAGCGATTCCTCCTTGCACTCGTGTCAGCAACCTCCGTGGTAGCAGGCCTCAGAGGAACGGTCTCGCCGGACCACCTCAGCTGCCAAAGGCAAGACCAGGGCGGGGAGAGAGTGCTTCCCTGCAGCTCGGAATCTGGCCTCCGGCTGTTTCCCACCAACATGGGCCTGTTGCTTGCAAGGAGCAGCTTCTTCGGGGTTCATCCCGCGTCGTTACCTTCGGGGTTGATCCTGTGTCTTGCCCGTCTGAGCTATGCAGCTGGCGCTGCTTGTCTTAAGAGCCATCCAGACGTTGCTGCATCAGCTCCCCCAAAAAGGTCAACTTCAGTTGTTGCACTGTCTGGGAAACCCTGAAGCCAACCTTTAAATCCCACAGCAGCTTGAAGTCCAAGCGCTCTAAAGACCCCGAAAGTGCCCTTGATACTAAACAGTTTTAGATTAGATTAGACTACACTTGTTTAGGTTAGATTAGACCAGATCAGATAATGTAAAACAACATATGGCGCATGACATGATATGACTAAGGCAGCCGAACTCCAGAACCGAGCCTTGAGCTCCAAACACTCTTTGGTGATGTCTTCGGCCCGGTGCCTGCTTATTCGTCCCTTTCTTCCAGTGATGGCAGCTGTTATCGGGGGTTTAGGGTTTAGGGGCTTAGGGTTTAGGGGCTTAGGGTTTGGGGGTTTTTCGGTGGTATTTAGAATACTGTGTTACGCGTAGGAAGAAGCATAAGACCAACGACAAGTACCAAGAGCACCGGCGACATTCCAGGCGTAGTAGCTAGTACGTTATTAAGCTACGATTCGTAGCTACCCCACTCTCGCTACCACGCCTTCTCCTAGGCCTAGTCCTAGTCCTACGACTTCTACTGCTCCAACTCCCACTCCCACTCCTACTCCTATTTTATTCCTGCTCCTACTACTACTACTACTACTACTACTACTACTACTTCTACTTCTACTTCTACCACCACCACCACGACTACTACTGCTGCTGCTGCTGCTGCTGTTGCTGCTGCTGCTGCTGCTACTACTCCTGCTGCTCCTGCTGCTGCTGCTACTACTACTGCTACTACGGCTACTACTGCTACTACTGCTACTACTGCTACTACTACTACTACTACTACTACGACGACTACTACGACGACTACTCCTACTCCTACTACTGACGCCTAGGCTACTGCTACTGCTACTACTGTCACTGGTACTACCAATACTGCTACTACCGTCACTGCTACCACTAGCACTTCCAGCATCACCACCATCACACCACCACCACCACCACCACCACCACCACGAGCATATCGTAGGAATATCTCACAACTAGTATCTCGACATTGCTCCTCAGGAACACATGCAGGATAGAAGCATCATCCAAGTAAAGCAGAGCTGTCATGAACTGCTGCGGATCTTCCACTGTTTCTACTGTACCCGTATATTGAAACGGTCACTGTACTACAGTAATGGCCCTCTTAAAACACAAATGTCTACAGTGGAAAAGGGTCTTCGATGACGACGAATGCAGAATGATGGCCTGGCTGCAGTTTGCATGCCCTCCATGGTGGTCGCACTGGCATGCTCTCAAGCTGTTGCACCTCTCCTGAGAGGGTCTTAAGACACTTAAAATGGTTGGTTGGGTCTGTCAGCTGAGTTTACTTTGTCCATGTCCTCTGAGCTGGGCCCAAGCAAGCTCGACATACAACGTTGGCAATACGCATACGTTTGAAGAAGACACCCTGCCGCATGATGCGAAGGCGGCATCGCACGGCAACATCACAAGGGCGTCTTTTTGTGGCTGCGGACGAAGATCCAGCAGATGGCGCCTGGAAGAGCTAGGTAGAAGGACTTAGATTACGAGTTTTTATCATGTGAAGCCCAGTATCCACACCTCTCTTTAAAGCTGCGCCTCTACAGGGGTAGCCACTCTGGACACTTTGCAGCAACTTGCCACCCGCCTGTGCCAGTAACTGCAGCTAGCAGCCACAGAAGGCCGTCGACGAGTGGAGGCAGTGGCGCTTGCTTCACCACTTTCCTCCATCAGGGACAGACAGCATCATGACTCAGCAGAGCAGTCTGCTGCTTGCGCTTCGGAGGTAGCAAAAGCGCCACATTGCCAGGAGGCGACTTAAACACACGGCGCCGTCGTTCATGATGCATGTCCTAGTTGGAACTTGCACCGTCGTGCACCTACCCAGCTGGCCTCGCAATGCTCGCGAGCGGCATGTCCTCGATGTCATGCAGCTGCACGGGTGTGGCCTGCAGCTGCATCAGTGACCAGCTGCTCGCATCAAACGCGAATCCCAGACCCACTATACTCCCGAAAGCTGGACAAGGATCCCCAGGAGCCTGAGACCTGGCCATGCTTCGGAATCCTTGACACAACTTTGCTATCGACGTTCTCCCTCTGCACTCCATTGAGGCCGCTGCGGGCTTTGCCGACTCCAGAGCCAGCTGTCCGCAGGCTGCCAGCTGCGCCTCGAGGCTCGCAGCTTCTTCGTACTACTGCTTTTTTACCAGCAAAGTGCCCAACACTTGAAGCCCCCAACACCGGTCAGCCTATTTTGGTGAGCGCATGTCTAGTTGCAAACTCTAAGTGTTCTTTGGAAGGTACCACAACCCAGCGTCCGAGTTCCACAGCCTGGCCAGGTACAGTGCTCCAGCGAATGGTGCACAGCAGCGGGGCGCCCGCCTGACGGGAAGGAGAGTCAAGATCGCGAGATACCACGTTGCCGTATCGAACGTCTCCACTGCGACCAGTGCGCCTGTGCATCTGCGATACCTCGCGGGCAGCTGCAGCAAACAGTATGGGTTGAAGGGGCCCTTTAGCATTCTTGCCCTCAGCACATGGACAGCATACCGTAATACCGCAGAAAAGGCCAAACCGTCCTATGCGTAATTAAGGAAACTCGGCAGACAGTCAGACGACTGGAGTTGCAGAACAGGACACTGGCACTTCCTGGAGCATCGCAGCATCGACGGTACTCCGCAACAATATTGCGGAACACCTTGCAGGCCGCCTGAGCTATCGCAGCTGATGCTGCTCTGCACAAGCTGCTGAAAGATCAAATAGCACGCTTGGAATTCCTGTGGCATTGGTGTCGAAGTCTCGACATACCAAGCATTACGAAGATACAAACTTTTCAGGCTCGACCCACACTGAACTGCCGTTCCCGGTCGGTGCGAGGCTTTGATAGTCACAGGAAGGCCATCCATTTATGGCAACCGAGAAACGTCTGTCGGAGCTTGGTACCCATTCCCATCACCACTCGCCTGAGCAAGATGAGAAGAAGGATAATCAACACAAAAGGGATCCACACGTCGAAGTCGGAAAGCAGTAACAAGAAAAGAAAGTGTGGGGCCCTTGATGGCTTGTCCAACTTGTGCCTTCTACCTTGGCCCAGTGGCCGTTGGATTGTAGGGGATCAGGTTGAGCATGACGAGTGCTCGCTGGCGGGCCAGCAAAGAGCCCAAAGCATGCGCCGTTTCTGCAGACGTGTTCACACCCTCGATCAGGATGTACTCCATCATGACCTGCGGACTGTGCAGAGCACTGCCGGGATCTTGTTGGGACTATCTAGCAGCAAGCAGTTTTTGAGAGATCGCGTCTAAGCTAGACAGGAAAGGCTTCGGGCCTAAAAGATCTTTTGCAGTTCCTGGTGGTTCTAGCGAACAGCTGATCCTCGAGAGGCATTTCGCAGCGAGCCACTCATCGGAACAACAGCGGACCTTGTTGCCCGTCAAGGCACCATATTCATCCACCTCGCGGCAGAAATGAAGTTTACGTGGTTCGCAGCTTAAGTTGCACTCTCGCTGTTGCTGGAGATCTCGTGCCTCGCGCAGAAGTGCATCGAGCTTGTTGCTGGTTGCACTCGGTACGATTGTGCTCCGAAGGTCCTCAAACAAGGCCCAACAAATCTCGGTTGCACGAAGCACTCCCCAGAGGTTCTCCTGCATCGGCGCATGCAGTGAGAGCGCCAGGTTGGCGGCCGGGCAGTCAGCGGCCAGCTGGCGGATTTTCCCAGGAACTCCAACAGTTGACACCGTCACATTCCTCGGGAATTAAGCAGCGAAGGCACCCTGCAAGAACTTCAAGCCCCAGCAGCGATTACGGCATGCTGAACAGATGCCCGAGGTCTAAGACCGAAGAGCAAAACAACCTGACAGTGCCGAAGTAGTGAAACGTGAACCAAGAACCACCATCCAGCGTCGAAGCCGTTGTCATTTAAGACTGCCGGTCATTCACTACGCCTGACAAAACAATGAACGTCCATGAGCATCGCAAGAAGTCTCTTGATTATCGCCTAGAGCAAGCCTAAGCCGAGTGGCTTCAAGGCAAGACCAAATGCACGGCTGCCGATGGTTAACGCCTGGCTTGCCATCATAGGTACAAGAGCTATTCCTCCACTTATCCTGCATTGCTGCTACGGCTACGACCACACAGGCAATCTGCTACATATACTTGCTACTTCTACGACTACTACGAACATGTACGATGATGCCACCAGCACCAGCACCAGCACACACATCTACCACTACAACCACACCACGGGCTTGCAACTTCCTCGACCACCATCCCATAAGCCATCAAAGAGGCCATTGGCGGCGAGGATGCTGCTTCAATTGCGACTGTAGGGAGCCACCATGGTGTGTTGTGCTTTATAGTTGTATTTGCGAATTTGGAATTTGCTGAAACAAGTTGATCACACACTTCGACGATTCGTGTAATGTGATTTTCGCTGGACGGACAACGGTACAAGAATGTACCGCACCTTCAGCGCCCCCAGAACAGCGGGGTAGTTGTCGAGCGGCTCACCCATGCCCATGAACACAACCTTGTTCACCACAGCTCAAAAGCAAACACAAACACTGCAGCGTCCGATTGTTGTGCAAGTTCTTCAATCACATATTCCCGGTAGCATCCAGGATCTCCCTTCAGTCCCATTTCATTCTGAGCTCCGAGCGTTTCGGATGGGCGCAGTAGGACCTCCAGCAATCGCACGATAATCATTCCGAGAACCCTAGACACCATCGATGCATCTTGTACTGAGGAACGTGCTTGCGTACTGCTTGGCCTCTGGCGGGCGACTGGAGTACAGTAGGCTTCGCAGTAATGGAGCCAAATTCGCCGCGCGAACCCTCAAGGGTAATTGGTCAAATATTCTTCTGCAGCAAGGGGCATGAAGTAACTGCTCCAAAATCTCGCCAGCATGCCTTGGAGCGTCCACTATCAAATTGCGTGCTTTACCTCGACTTACAAGGAATCAGTTCAGCCTTGCCAAGGTGCAGCTGTGCTCGCAGACCCATGGTGCCTTTCGGAAGCAGGAAGGTCACCGCGAAATTATCTAAAGTTTCTGTTGTACAGCTCCTACCGACTGGGATTCGGCTAGATGCCTGGATCCAATTTGGGCGGGTGAACTTGACCCCCATCATTCCCAGGCTCGCTCCTGTGGCACAGAAGCGGCAGCCCATTTTGCAGCCGATCTGGCTGGAGACACAAACCTCAAAGATGAAAGGCTACAGTGTGAGCAATGGCGCTGCCTCGTGCCAGTACAACTATCTGATACAAGATGATCTCACCTTGAGTGGCAACCTCTGCGCTTGTGCTACAACAGGGTCAAGATATGCCATATAGCCGGCGCTTGCTGTTGTGCTGCATCGGACTTCGGAACATTCCCCATGGCAATGCTCCTCGCGACTCGAAACACCCAAGTGATACAGCAGTTGACATATTATGGATGTGATATGATACAAGAGGTGGTTTCAGATGTATCGCCCACGAAGTCGTGGCACCGCCTTGTCACGCGAGAAAGCCTAAGGTCGCGTCGCACCCACCGTCACGAAACGAGTTCCCGAGTGTGCATGCTCTCCGTGGCGAAACTAGGATTTCCAGTGTCAAGCGCAGGTTTTCTTTTGGACATCATTCCCCAACACCTGCAAAATAATGGGCTTGCATGGACCTACCTGTTGTACCTCCCTGTGTGTACACAGCGGACAAACCATTCTTAGCGAGTCCGGCTGAGAAGCATGGACGTACCTTTAATAAGGTCGCTGTAAACTCATGTTTGCTCGCGCGTGGATGGAAAAGATGCCGAACGAGTCTGGGTAAGAAACTATAGCAAAGCCGGAAGGGGCAGGACTGTTCTGGAATGGCGTCCCCACACGTGTGCACCTAAATTCAAACAAGGCGTCGTGACTTAAAGTAACCCCACTTATGCGTGTATCTGTACGTGAGACAGAAAGAGTGGGGGGGAGGGATGGAGGGCGGGCGGGAGGGAGGGAGGGAGGGGAGGGAGGGAGCTCTGCATGCTGGCTTGAGTGTCCGCGTTTGTCTTTACATGCGTGGGTGTCTGCCTGCGTCGGAAACAGGTCTGCACCATGGTCTCTACCTGCAGCACTGCAAGCAAGGAGCGGTTGCTCGAGGCTTCGGACCACCATGCTCGATGATGACGGTCCTGAACCACATCTTGCGCGAAGCCACAGATGGGCCAGATGGGACATTTAATCACGAATCCAGATTCTGGAACACGTCGCCGCTTCTGACACGACTCCGGTGTTTTGGAACCAACATGACTGACAAAGAGCAACAAGCGATGCACAGCAACAATAACAGTACCCCTATTGGCATCCGACATTGGAGGTATCCGTAAGACAGGATAGGTCTCAGGCCGAGCAGCTCAATGCATTGGCCGTCTTGAAGTTCGAGGACCAACTTGCCTGTGTGTCACCAGATGAGGGAGAGGAGCTGGAGTGAGGGTCTGCTCGCAATTTAGCGAGCACTCGGTGTTCCCGAACACTTGCTCAACACTGTTCTGCTTTTGGGCCATACACAGGTGCCCAATGCCAGGCAGAGGTTTTGCATGTAAACGTTGTCGCTACCTGGGTTTGCGTAATAGTGAGCTTCTCCTTTGCTCGATGTGGGGGATGCGCTACGTGGCTCTCAAAGTGTTCGATCGCCTTCAGACGTGGCTGCACCGAAGTCTCTTGGAACAGCAGGCGTGAACCTGCGAGACTTCGATAAGCCATGCAGCTCAAAGTTCCGCTGGCCCGGATCGCGTTTTGGTACCAGCTCGGGCCCGGGCATGATAAGCAGCGTGCGGTCACGCATACCCTCCCAAATACGTTCAGCTGCAACAATCGTCTTCATCGTGAGTGAGCGCAAAAGATACCCCGGAATTTACCGTGGTGCCGCTGATACTCACGATGAAGACTGCAGGTGCACTCACACCGAAAGAGCGCGAAGCTTACACTTTCCCAGTCCGGCTGTAGGTGATGTACTGCGGCGGCTTGGCCAGCACCCTCTCAGCTATTGGTACTGGAGTCTCGCTGATGTCTCCGAACTCCGAAGGTCGCAAAACCAGAGCGGGAGACGAGGAACCCCTGCATATTGGGCATCCCCAAACAATGATAGAGCACCACAGCGGCCATGACGACCACCAGGAGACCCCGAGATGGCTGCACCCAGAAACGCGGAGCCGCCCCGTACTCTTTCCATCTTTTCCGAAATATAGCTACCCCTGACCACTCGTGCTTTTGGTAAGCCGTCATCAACGCGTCGTCACAGCAGCATTCATGGTGTCAAGGTGTCTCGACGAAATGGATGGCCAACAGAGCACGGTTTCCTCATCAAATACGGATAACAACAACATCGTATCCTACATGTGTGCATGCACACGCATATATATATATATATGTATATATATGTGTATGTGTATATATGTATATGTGTATATATATATATATACATGCATGCACATACCTATACATATCTATGTAGTATGTATGTATGTATGTATGTATGTATATATATATACAGGCATGTAGACACGTAGTATGCCTGGGCTTGGTTAGCAAATCTGACTCTCTGAAGAGCACTGCAGGAGCGCAGTCCTTGCTGAAAACTCCCAGGCCTACTTCCCATGTAGATTTCGCTCTGCGGATGTGCGTGCGTGCCTGTCTACCTTCACTGTGCAATGTATTGAACCATCTTGTCATGTGTGGCCTCGTCCAGAACCTCGACTGGAAACGGCTTGCTTGTTTCTCTATGCCAGAAAGGCGGAGCCCGAAACCCTGATAACCCAGTATATTATAGTGTACTATCGGATATTGCAGTTGGCCCTAGAGTATAGTTTAATTCAGAGGAGTCACCCTCGCCCCGCGCGGCTTTGCTGTGCCAGCTTTGCACCCTGGACGTGCAGCGCGCGAAGCGACGCATCAGCCTCTGCATTTTCCAGATTGCAATATACACACATACACACAAAGAAGAGCGTTGCTCACACTTTCTAGACTGTTTCGTAATGTTCTATTCATTCCTAAAGCAACTAGTCAAACTAACGAGACCCGTTGAATGCACCATCTTCTATAATATCCATACTCGCTGCGAGGCATTGTAGTAGCCCCCAAAAACTTGGAAACCGGGTTAAGGCCAAATAGTGCTGGGATTCCCTATACATTAGTATTATGATGTAATATGACATGACGAAGCATGATCTACCAGTATAGAACAATATACTACAGCATACTAAAACAAAGAGCATGAAACATACAACATGAAATGTATCGTATACAGTGCACAGTTTATCAAGATAGCACACCGCATGTAGTATATGACATAGAACCTATGATTTATCACATGTAATCTACACATGCATGTGTATATATATATGTAGCAAACATATAGTCTTACATAATATGTACTCACCACTTTTGTACTATACGGAATGCACTATATGGAGTACATACTGTACAATATGCCATATGCAACGTACAACTTACATACAGATGAAAACAAATAGGTGCATACATACATACATACCAATCTAGCTGTGTATATATATATATATGTATATGCATGTATGTATGTATGTGTATATATATAATGTTACATTTCATTACATTTGTTATATTATATCATGCTATTATTCAATTCTATTCTATCATACTATACTATATTTTATCTTGTTATATTATACTAGATTATACTATGTTATGTTATATTGTACTATGTGTGGGTTTAGGGTTTAGGGTTTAGGTTTCATTATACTATGTTATGTTATATTATGTTATGTCATACGAGATTCTATTATATTATAATATATTATATCAATATTCATATTAACAGCAATTTTAAACTATAATATATTTTAGTAAAGTATATAGTATTATATTATATGTATGTCATCATATTTCATGATAGGATATGATATCATATGGTATTTTATGAAATTATATGAAAAATATGAATCTGTATGATATTATATGACATTGTATGATATGATGTGAGATTATATGTTATACTCTAATATTTTACGTTACATTATATCATATTATGCTGTATGGTATTATATCATGTTATACTATATTATAATATTTCACATTACATTATATTATATTGTACTATATAAAAGAAATATTTAGTTACTATGTATGTACATGCCGACGAACAGCTCTAACGTCCGGCAACCTCCAATAAACCCTCGATGAAACAACAAAGAAGCCTTAGCGCCTTTGAGCAAGCATGGGGAAGGACTAGAGCTGCACTTCTTGTCTACTCTACACAGACCGTCTTCTGAAGGGTAAGGATGTCCCGATCATGCGGAATTCAACATTGCAGAAACACAAGCTGTGGAGCCCTAGGACCCTGTAGGATCACACATCTCAAAGAACACCCAAAACATCGCGACAACTCCCTAATTAAACCCTAAACTCTAAACCCTCATTATATATTATATTCAACTCTATTCAGTTCTATTATATATTATATTACAAAATTATACTCTTACCAAGTCCGTGGCAGCTCCACAGCTGCTTGGGGAACTCCAGGAAACTGCTTCCGCAGACCGAGCCAGAAGTCGGCGTCTGCGTCTCCGCTGGGCACACCTCAACATAAAAATCCTATCATCTAGTATATTACAGTACAGTATGGCATATCAAAGAACATAACAGTATAAGATAGTATATAACAGTACACTTTGGTATGTTATCATATAGACGGGATGCTGGAATCCAAGTACATCGTCTTGAGGTTTGAAGCACTGGGAGCAGGACAAGAACGCTGTTGTTCTGAAATCGTCAAGATTCAAGATTGGCAAGGGCACTTCTTCACGCGGGCCTGGGGGTGAGAAGAAATGTAAAAGTAAAAGGACAATGCAAAGCTGAAACCATTGCGTTGTCGGGACCCTTTCTCGCTCTTTCTGCAAGGCTTTCCTTGCTTCTTCCTCTATATCAATATCACAGCACTGAGTTGCACTTTCAATTCACTACTTTTGCCGACTGAAGGCAGTACGCTCTGCTTGCGTGAGGGTTTGAAGAGCCCGGAGCCACATGTGACCTTTTGGCCAAGCTGCTTTCCATGGCGTACTGCCAAACCTCAGCTAGGCAAGAGATTGCGATTTGGCTCTGCGTCCCAGAAGACCAGGTTCTCTGCAAATGCAACGAGACCAACCTCACTGCTCTGAAACCGGAACCTAGATCGTTGAGCTGACGCTGAGAGATGTCTGCCATGCCGGGACATCAAATTCCTAATTTCAAACGCCCTGTTCTAACAGGACCGCGGCCCTGTTGCCAACTATCTGCCAGCATCTCTGTGACAAACAACGCGAACGAATCAGACTTCAAATCTGAGCAACCTTAGCCAAAGCTTCGGAAAACGTGGGTGGTTTCCAGGAACATGGTTCTCACAGAATGATGAAAGGTATCCCGTGCCCTGGCAAGGTCTCAAAGAATAGCCCACAACCAGCTTAACCTATGCATGTTCCAGGTTGTGCTACTGTACCATCCGACACTAGAGGAGCATGCAGCCCCACAAATAAACTGGAGTAACAGGAATGCATGAACTGAAGAGAAACATGACAATCATGAGAGTCAGCAAGTCTAGTGCTTCACTGAGTTCAGGTTCCGAACCCGCACTGCTGCTTTTGGTCGTTCAAGACTGCGACAATCGGAGCACACGCAAGTTTCGACCACTGCATGTCCAAAGGAAAGCGAGAACGCCCAGCTCTTGCTGCACAGCAAACGCCGGATTCGCCGATGTGTGGCATACTCGCTACATATTACTATGATTAAGACAAGCTGACCAACGGCTACTGAACAACAGATTGGCCGAGTATGCCATAACTACACACACATACATACACACAGACACACAGAGACAGACATTTATGTGCCCTTGCGACAGATCAATCAAGATCAAATGCCGGAGCATACACATGCTCACACACATACATTATACAGGAAGGCACACATACACACATTAATGAATGCATGCAGATACATGTATGCATATATATATATGTATATATATATGTATATATATATATGTATGTATATATAGATATACAGCCTGCACGTAGGTATCTCTATCAGCGCGCACACACACATATGCAGACAGACACAGTCATACACATGCCTGCACATACTTATGCACAAACATGTCTGTCTGTCTGTCCGTCCATCTGTCTGTTTGGCTGGCTGTCTGCGTGCGTGTATGTGTGGATGTGTATGTCAATGTATGTATGTATGTATGTATGTATGCATGTATGTATGTATGTATGTACGTATGTATGCGTGTATGTATGCAGCTAGCTAGCTAGATAGATAGCTAGCTAGATAGCTAGCTAGATAGCTAGCTAGATAGCTAGCTAGATAGCTAGATAGCTTGCTAAATAGATGGATAGACAGATAGGTGGATGGCCAGATTGATACCTGGCTAGCGAGCTAGTACGTAGGTAGGTGGGTAGGTAGGTAGGCAGGCAGGCAGGCAGGCAAGCAGAGAGAGAGAGAGACAGAGAGAGGGAGAGAGATAGAGAGGTAGAAAGATAAGATACATGGATGGATAGATAGACAGATAGATAGATAGGTGTGTATAGATAAATCGATTCATCGATAGGTCGAGTTAGATAGGTTGATATACGTACACACCATGTGCATGAGCATTCACCGTGACGCTGATGCTGGCAGCAAGCTTTCAGCCAGGGAGTCTGCGGCAAGATGTTCCCCGGAGGGACCCCAAAGTTGGGGGAAGGCAAACTAAATCTCAAGCCTTCGGCTCCTTGGGTACTGTGAGACGACCTCCTTCTTCAGTCACGTCTGTGCTCCGGCATGCGCGTGACACGTTCATGGCACGAACGTCTTGCCTTCAGACATAGGGCTCAGCACTGACGAAGTCTTCATGAGAAGAGTTCTCTTTTCAAGAAGACAGCTGTCAAGACCAAGACCCTAAAGACAGCTGCTAGAGAACTAGTAGCCGTAGGAAGTAAGGCGACAGAGCCGCAAGGCAAAAGGGTTAGTCAGAAGCCTACAGCGCCGAGAATTATACAAACGAGCCCGCCATTTAGCGGGCTCAAGAAGATCACCTGATCTGAAACCGAGACTCACCATATGGGTAGTGCTCGAAATGAGGGTCCATCTTAGGGCCCTTTTTTCAAGGGTGCCGTACAATTGTGGGGACCAAACAAGGAATGCTGATTGAGAAAACTACCCATCTCGATCTTGCTACCTGCTTCTGAGATTCGGCCTGTAGGGCCTCATCGTCGATAGCGCAAGGGGCGTCACAAGAGAATTTGGCTTCGGGTATAGGGGCTTCAGGTTCAGGGGCTTTTGGGGGGGTGGGGGAGGCGAGGTTTCGTAATCTCAGAGGTGCCTCTCACAGTATCGTCTCAAGGCGTTTGCAGGGACTGGATCGGCGCTTTTTGGTAGCCTGGGCTTCGGGGATGCTTGTAAGAAGGATCCCGCTGTCTATGGTTTATGTTGGGGTCCGCTAGTTTCTTAAAACTCCGACTGGTAACCAGGGCTGAGGCCGAAGGTGCAGGGGTTCGGGTTGGATTCCGGGATTTTGTCTGCTTTAGCATACGTTGCCAGATCACTGCGGCCAATGCCGACGCCCCTTGCAACTTCTGGTGACTCAGTCGCCCCGAGTCACAAAACGCGATGTCTTCCTTCAGGGATGGGGGCACAGATCGAGAAACCCCCTTGGGCCTAACTCTATATAATATACGAATAATAATAACAATAAAAAAGATAAATAAACAAATAAATAAAAATATATATATATATATTATCGTATAGTATTTCTAGTATATTGCATCATACTATATCGTATTACATCTTACTGTATTGTATATACAAGGCAAAAGGGCAGCTTCCGGCTTTAGAAAAAACACATTCTGTATCAAGAACCCAGGAACTTCAGCAAGATCGCAGCTGAACATCAGCTGCTTCCTGAAAAACGGAACCCTTCGGGAGAAGCAGGTCAGGCTTGCCAGAATCGTGCTGAAAACATGGCTCAGAGTCCACGTCAGGAGCCAGCTCTCGAAGTTTAGGACAGTGAGATGTGTCCGCAGAGGCCGCTTTGGAATGTTCCGCATGTAGAAAGCTTACACTGCGCAGAGTCAGGTCTTTCAAATCGTCCAAACCCTTCCCAGTCTCTTCACGAATTTCCTCCAACATGGAGTACACAGCTTTGGTGGCTAACAGAGCGGCAATGGCATCGCTCTTGCTAATTTCCCCGCGGATCTTGAGGAGACCCTGCACCAGCTCGGAAATTCTTAATGTTCCACTGCCATCAGCATCGATAATCTCGAAGAGATTCGCCCGATCCGGCGGCAGGTCCAGCTCATCCATCAACTGCTGCACGCCGCGGTCTTGGATCACGAGAAGAAAAAGATCTTTAGTGATCGCAATACCTTCGTGCACATCTTCATCCGTGAAGACCGTCTTGTTTGGGCTAATCTCCAAATGGGAAACTTCCGCGCTCTCGTCCTCCGACCGGAGCAGCGTACGGCAGTTCGTCAAGACACTACTTTGAAAATGGAGACGAAGCCCAGAACCGACGGCACATCCCCGAACTGATGTCAACCATGTATAACCCTATTTCAAAAACAAACAGGATGTTAGAGCCATAAATGACCATTTAAGCGGAATCCTCCATGTCGTGGAAGAGGCGGTAAGCAGATGCAAAACGCTTGAGGAGCTCGCGTGTGGTTCGCGCCACCCGGATGGACTCCCGTGCATATTGCTCCGCGGTCACTGCTTCGTTTTCCTTGGCAGCCTTCATCGTGATGTCGACCTGCAGCGTAATCAAAGGGTAGGCTTTAGCACCAGTGTCGACGCGGAACAGCGTGCTTCTGGGGAACATGCTGCCAGCTCATGGGGAAATGCCCGACTTCGGCTGAGCTGGACTTCTGGGGTTTAAACCGCAAAGCGACGACCTTCAACAATGCTGGCCATGTCGCATAGACAGCCAGAATGACATTGAATATGCCCATTGCAACGAGCATGTAGCTGATCACATAGGGCAGGATGAATTTGTATCCAAACAACCTTGTCTGTCAACAACACCAGCATGACCGCAATTGTTTTACCGCCTCGCTTGGGGACATGTCGCTCTAGATTACCCTTCTTGCTTGCTGTCCGTAGCACGGCCGACGTAGGCCTTGCCAACTAGACTCTCCGGTGTTGAGCCGAAGAACCGGGCCAGGAGGTGTGTAATGGGCGCTCTCCTTTGTCGTTCACACAGTCGCCAGTGAAGCACCTGAATTTTGACAAGCAGCCAGCAAGCTAGAAGTTGCAAGCATGAGAACATATCATCTGTATTGGGATGATGCTACTAACTTTACTGCATCCGGGCACGGCCTCTGCCTTTCTAAATCCTGTCAGGGCCCAAGCGTTTGAACTGCCGCAAAGCTGAAGCCAAGCTGCCGGAAGGCGGTGAACATGCCTAGGCATCCACAGTTGCCCAATCGGAGCCAATTCAACAGGCAAGCAGGGAAGCTAGAACTGTAAGCGCTTTGCTTGCCAGGAAACACTGCGGAAGATTATCGAAGTACTTCATCAAGTCTTCATCCTGAAGCTGAGGAGTTTGCCCGAAGCAGACACGAACAGCTACACGACCTAGAACTGTCACAGGGCCGACAGGCACGAAAGCGCATGCTACACCTTCGGAGCGTTGCACGTAGCATGTCAGCAGGAGCACCTGTGTTCTCGAGTCGCTCCCGATTGTCATCGTAGCAAATCCACCAATGACCTTGGCTGAACGTCATGTCCTATGTCCAAGTGATAACTGTGAGCCACTCCAGAACATGTGGCAGCTGTTCGAAATTGAGCTCAATTGAAGCAGCTCTCAAGCATCGGCGTGTGAACTTCCTGCACCCGCTTAGCTTTGTTGCGACTTGGGTGCGTAAAGGACACAAAACAGCAAGGTGAATGCCAGCGTAAGCGTGCGGACACCTGCCAAATTTGCGGTGAGCTTCTCCTTCCTTTCATACCTATTATGCCCTTTTCAGACCTTCATGATCAGTATCTGCCATGATTATTTTGCTGATGTTGTTGCTTGCGTGTCTTACAGTCGCATGAAGTGGCGTCTGGAAGCAGCTTGCCATTCGGGGTTCCAGTGGCTCAAGGCTCGAGTGCCGCTTGACCAGGGGTCCTATCTGGGTTTAGTGGTCGAATCTTGGTAGACTCATCTTCAAAGATGAACACACAAGGAACACTACGGGCTGCAGTCTGCAAGCGATGCCTGCAACAAGGCCCTTGACCATGAGACGCAGATCCCGCATAAACTTCAGGCGGAAGACCTGTCAGGATCTCGGCTCAGGGATTTTTTGGGCGGTCACATTGGCCTCACAGCCAGCACCCTGTTTGGTAGGATTCACAACACTTGCCAGATGGGACGATGCAGTTGCACGGAAAACCGTGAAGATGGCACAGAGCTCCAGTGGTGATTGCGCATGTGCCTTCACGATGCGTACCAGCCGGATTAGGCGGCAGAACCTCAGCAGCGATGTACCGAAAATGTCGAAGTCTTCGTCGTGCACCAGCTGCACCAAGATATCCACCACCCCAGTCATAGCGAGTACAATGTCGAAATAGTTCCAAAACCAGTCTGTCCCGCACCAGAAAGGCTGACAGCGCAGGAAGTGCATTCGCAAAGCGATCTCCAGCACGAGAACGCTCACAAATGCAATCTCCACGTGGGTCCAATATTCCCAGCCTTGATGGTCCGGATGGGTTTGGAAGCCAATCCTCGCAAACAAAGCTTGAGTCTAAGAACTCCAACTCCTGGATTCAGGCTTGCGGGATCCGCAATGCATTCGATTGGGACGGGATGGTATAGGGATGTAGGGTCTAGGGTCTAAGAAGTTCAAAGCTTAGGGCTTAGGGTATGGGTTTCAACAAGGCGCATGATTCCATTTCCGACGATCAGCAGTGCCACCAGTGGCCTCGGCTGAGCTTCTGAGAGGTCATGGGCATACATCTCTATGTGGGAAGCTGTGAAGGAGCCGGACTGGCAGCACATCCTGAAAAGAGTAGCTTTTGACACATACTGACATACAGCTCTACCTGGCCTCAGTTCTCAAACCCTCCCGCAAGTTGCTGCCCGTGCCTTCTCGTGCCAGTTATATTAGAGTGTAGTATTCGAGGTGGAGAATTTGTTTTGGCTCCTTTTTGTTTAGCCCTTATCTTTGTGGTGCGGGGTAGGGTGTGGATCTACGCGTTTCCATGTTTATCTGGATCCTATGAGAAACTAAGCCATGAAAACCTGCAGCGGCAGTGGGTGTAGGGTTTAGGGTTTAAGGTTATGGTTTCGGGTGTAGTGGTTAGGGTTTAGGACTACGACGACGACGACTACTACTACTACTACTACTACTACTACTCCTGCTACTCAGAAGCGTCGAAGTCACATC